TTGCTAACGTGAAACTTTTAATATTAACCTTTTAGACTGGTGTGAGGTGTCAGCTCTCTGCAAGTGTTAATATACTCCTGGTTGGCCGGGAGCAGTAAGACATTACTATCGCTGAGCTCTAGGATTTGTTTTAGCTTGTTGGTGCTTTCTTTGCCCCAGTTGGGATCGCAAGTTTCCCCCTTTCCCTCCCCATATCTTCTGGGCTGAGATGGTCTGCTTCCACTTACAGTCCTTTATTGTAGACTACAGTCTTACTGGTGGTGGCCATTGCGATTTCTGGCTCCAGATGAGATGTCTCGATCTGTGAAACCAAAGAGGAGACAAGATCAGAATCGCTGTGCTGCAGCAGGAGCTCAATGGATCAGTAAATTCATGTGGAGAGGTATGATATGCAAATAATACCATGTCGATCATGCCTTTTCCGTGTCATTTTAATGTGCTTTACTCTGCTCAAGTCTCAACACAACCCTGTTTGGAGTGACTTATATTACATGAAATGATGCCCGCTCGCTGCCTTCCTATAATATTCCATGAATTATAGAGTGTCTCTGCAAATCAAACATATCCCACCCATCATTTTCCAGGAGATATCTCTTCCTTTCCCGCAGCATGGTGCTAGAAGGAACCCAGTCCCCAAAGCTGTTTGCATCCATAGGGACCAGCCAAGGGCTGCGTGGTGGCACAAGGGGACAGCGCTCCCTCATCCAGCTCCTGGACCAGGGCTCTACTTCCTCCAACACAGAGGGATCAGTGCTAAAATCCACCCACCTCTTCCTCTGTCTCCATAAGATCTCCAGCCTTTTCCTGTATTTTCCCTTTCGCTGGCTTCACAAGAAGCTCTGAATCCCTCCAAACCTCTGCATCCCCACGAGCGATCCGGGATGCTCCCATTTCCCACAGCAAGCAAAGATCCCGCTCCCAAGCGGGACAGGGCACCTTGCAAGACCAGCCTTTGAGGAATCCTATAGGTTGACTTGCTGCTGTCGCTGACACAATGCTAGGAACCCACGTTAAAATCGAGATGCTTTTGAAAATGTTTAACCTAGTTAGACAAATTAGCAAAAATTTGTGCAAAACAATTTAGGTATTTAAAATATTCAATGTTTTTAAAAACTGGAAAAACTGTTCTTAGCTTTCAGCTGCAAAAACCCAACAAAATATAACATCAAAGCAATCTTAACATGAGGTGCAACATAACCCTTCAGCAAAGCTGTTAAACAGCTACTGGAGCATCATGGGAAATAGCACTTCATTTATTCAAATGCACATATGTCAGGTTTTTGCACCATATGTCATTCCAAGCTATTTACAGTAATAATTAAATCTTAATCAACGTTTAACCTCTGTAAAATGTTTGAAGGGATCTAATCACCCTTCAGACTGCACTAATGAAGGAGAAATATATAAACATAAAAAGAAAATGATGCATAGATAGCACACCAGAAAGAACAGTAATTGCAAAATTGTATTTCTTTTAAATATAATCAGCAAATTATGTAAAGTAAGCCAACGAGTATTTTAAGTGAAGACATCTTGGGTGTCAGAGGTGTGATCAGCTAATTTTGTACTGCTATCCATAACAGATGTAGCATATTTTCTTTTCGTGCCATTATTAGCAACTTCACCATTTCTTTCTGTGCTGAAACACAAAGTGAAGCATTGTGCCGGGGAGAGCACCCAGCGAAGGTGCAGGAGAGGCTCTTCTCACCGACAGGATCCATTTTGAGGGAGGATTAAGTCGGATCTGCCTGGCTCTGACGCAGCTTTTCTTCCTATTGTTTTCTTCTTTTTCTCCCAGGGATGGGAAGAAAAGCTCCGAGGTGTTGGGGCTGGGGTGATTTCGCCATTGGCATGAGAATATCGAGGTGGGAAGTGCTTTAAAATGACCTGGAATTGGGTTATTGACCCTGAGCATCTATGGTGGTGCTGGTAGGGCTTGGGGACGTGGGGCAGCTTGGAGAGGGCAAATCCCAAGCTACTATGGGGAAGCCTCCATAGGGAGCTAATGGAGAGCCACCACAGCCCATCCCTCTCCACCAGGGGCTGGAGAGGTGGTTGCTGCAAAGGCAAAGGAGGAAAGTCACATCTGCCCTGGTGAACCCCACATTCGTGGTCCAAAAGCAAGATCCACGGGGTAACAGTGAGGACTTGGATGTGCTGAGTCTAGAAGAGAGGAGTCCAAGGGAGATGTGGTGGTATTTGTGCGTGCAAGAGGATACAGCACGGAAGAAAGGAGAACTGTTTCGTTCACGGTCTCTTGGGACACCATTCAAAAAGCATCGAGTAGGATCCAAGCTGAACAGCAGGAAGAGTATCCTAGTGGGAAGGAGCAAAGTATTGCAACCAAATGCTTGGGGAAGGTGTGGTGTCTCTGTGGTGGGAAGTTTTCAGCACAGATTAGATGAAACCCATCAAGAATAGTTTAAGCAGAATTGAGCTTGTCTTGATGGAAGGAGACAGATGAGATAACTGCTGGTAAGTCCTTCCAGCTTCCTCCCATGGGTCCAGGAGGAAAACAGCCTCCTTTCCCTGCATGGCAGCGCTCTTCATTCATAGCAAGGCTGCACACAAGGCTGTTGGACGGGATGGCTTTAGCAGGGACAGGATTGAGGTGTGAGAGTTCAGAGACAGATTCTGGTGTCTGAGCAGAAGGTCAAGGGAATGAATGCCTAATGCAAGATGGACACAGGGTCAGGGACTCCTCTGAAGATCTTGAAAGAAGATACCATTGGTCATAGACATTGGTCTGGAGCTGCATATCCCTGAACTCACCTAAGCCCCTTTCTGCAGCCTGGGATGATGTGAAGCATTATTTGCTGGGATGTGACCGGTTTCACTGGAGCAACCTCTGGAGATGTCTTTCTGGTTAACTTGAATAAAACAGACATTAAAACCTGCTCTAGAGCCTCAGCTACAGGAGCTCCAAGGGGTGCAATTGCACCAAGGACGGAGGTACAAGTAACTTACTCTTCCCATTGGGAAATTAAGTGCAGAAGAGCAAGGAGAAGCATTAGGGTGCTGGGCTCCAGATATTAAGACAACTTTAAGACACAACCTTACTGGGCACCACTTCAGCCTTTGAATCCCTCAGGGCTTTTTGTTGGAAGGGGTAATTCCACCTGCTTTGGTGGAGGCTGCTATTCTGGCCCTCCAATATCCTGGACCTACTTGCCCACTGGACATGGCACTGTGAAGCACATCTGGAGGCCCTGTGAAACACATCTGGAGTTTCTTGTCCAGTTTCTTGCATCTCAGCTTCAAAGAAGACAACACAGGAGGGTCCTTCCTGGTCATGGCCATGCTGGAACCCCTCTAACGGGGAATGCTTTCCGTGGAGGGTGCTCTGAGGAACAGGTTCTACCCTGTTGGGGTAGAATCCCACATGGGATGACTTTGTCCTTTCAAACTGACTGCCCACCATGGGACTGGGTTTGAATTGTGTCCATCCTCTTCCTCCTGGTAAGGTAGATCTACCTGCACTGGGGCAAAGGATGATCTCACTCCTTGCTCTGGAATGACAGCACTGAAGTGCCTACTGGAAAAGGGCCTTCAGCAAGGAATCCAGAGAAGTCCAGGAGGGACACAAGCTCACAACAGCACTGAGGACACCAAGGTGTAAAAGTATTGCTCCAAGAGAGTGCTGCTGGAGGCTTGTTTGGGGAAGAACCCCAGGCTTTCAAGCAGTAATGACCACTCTGTATCCTGACATAACTGCAGGTATGGATGTCAGGATAGAATGAGGCAGAGGGAGTAGGGGAATTACTTCATCCCTCTGTGAGGCTACCAGAAGCTTTGCTACAGATGCAGGGAGATCCTCACTGGGGACAAGGCCGAGGTGCAACTCCAAACTCCTCCAGCCCGTCACAACACCTGAGAGCCGACACAGGCTGAGGATGCTCCTCTTCCCTCCAGCACCCAGCCAAGTGCCTGAAGCAAGAAACGGTGTCCCCTGACCTTACTGAAGCAACTGTTTATAAACCAGCATCCCCCAGGTGATGCAGGCAGGGCAACAGCGCTGGCTCCTGCGTGGCAATCCTGACCCGGGGAAATCTATCCCTCCTGGGGAACAAAGCCACCGCAAAGGGACTCGCCTCTCGCCGTGCCCACCGCGCACCAGCTCTCTTCCCCCCATCCCTGCCTTGCAGTGGAAGCCTCTCTCCTCTCATCAGCACAGACAAGGCTAATTGGGGTGATAAAGAACTGGCTCCGAGTGCTGGCGTGGGCTGGAGGAACAAATGGTGCGGTGGTCACAGCTGGTGCTGCGGAGATGGAGAGGGAGAGGGTGTGAGGCAGGCTCCCGGCTCCCAAAGTTCCGTCAGCCCGTGTTGGATGCGGGGTGACGAGGTGGGGGGCTCTGTGTGTGTGTTTTGCATTCGCTGCTGACACGGGTGTAGCGTACAGGCGCGTCCGGTGAAGCAGAAGCAGGCAGAAAGCAGATGCTTTTTGTTTGGGGTTGATACTCATTTCTATCCCAGCTCGGGAAAAGGTGTAGAAAGGAATGTGCTCCGAAGAGTGCAGGGAGAGAGATAGGTCTAGGCACGCTGCCAGGGATCCTGCAACGATATGGAAGGCAGCTAGGGGAGACAGGAGCAGATGGATTTGGCATACAGCTCATCACTCAGCCAAAAAAAGGGAGAGGGGGGGAGAAGAAGGGAGAAAGCAGCCAATTTTGGGAGGGGGAGGGTCATGAGGACTGACGGATGCTGTACTGGGAGGTGGGGGAAGGGAGGACCAGGCTGGTCACCGCATCTTCTGCTGCTGCCTCGGCGGTGCCAGCAAGGGGGATGTGATGGTGGCCCCGGTTCAGCTCTCCCGGCCCTTCCAGCAGCCCTCTGGCATCTTCTCCTGGGCCATTCGAGAGCAGGGCAATGGCTGAGGGCAGTGCCAAGCTAATGGAGCACTGGTGAAGCTCAGTGAGGTGTAACAAGGACTGTGGTTAATAAACAGCACCGTAGAATCATGGAATCGTTTAGGTTGGAAAAGACCTTCAAGATGATCAAGTGCAACCGTTAACCCAGAAGTGACAAATCCAACACTAAACCACATCTCTAAGTGCCATGTCTTTTAAACATCCCTATGGACGGTGCCTGCAGCCCTGCCCTGGGCAGCCTGTTCCAATGCCTGAGCACCCTCTGGGGCAGGAACTGTTCCTCAGCTCCATCTAAACCTGCCCTGGGGCAGCTTGAGGCCGTTTCCTCTTGTCCCATCCCTTGTTCCTTGGGAGCAGAGCCCAGCCCCTCCTGGCTCCATCCTCCTGTCAGGCACTTGTAGGGAGCCATCAGGTCCCCCCTGAGCCTTCTC